GAGTGCGTCAGGCTTGGTATTCTTCGACCCCGGACGGTATGAGATGGTGAACCGGAACCTGGTGAAGAACAACGCCCACCTGGCTTGGTGCGAGTTAAGCCTCTTGGCCCCCTGAATGTAGGCTAAGTTCTTGTGGTCAGTCCATACGATGAGTGGAGCCAATGCCTCCACTCCCCCAGGGCGAACTTGACCTCTAGCAGCACACGGTTCCCCACGTCGTAATTTTGCTCCACTGGGGACAGCCGACGGGATCAAGATGTCCGAGGACCATGGCCGATGTAAAGCGCCACTTAAGCGCATCAAATGCATTCCCCGCTTCCGGGGTCCAGGCGAAGGAGCGCACGCTCGTCTGGGTGAGGGCTGTCAGTGGAGTGGCTAGGGAACTAAAATTGCGAATAAATTGCCAATATAAATTAGCGAACCCTAAAAACCATTGTAGTTGCATGAGGGATGAGGGCTGGGGTCAATCCAGTACCGCGCTGACCTTGGCTGGGTCCATCCGTAGGTCCCACTGGGTGACGATGAACCCCAGGAAGGAGACTGTCTCTGTGTGGAACACACACTTCTCCACCTTGACATAGAGCTGGTGACGGAGAAGGCATTGGAGGTCCTGCTGAACGTGCTACTGGTGTTCACTCATATCCTTCAAAACTATTAGGATGTCATCCAAATACATGAAGACGCTGTAGTCTAGGAGGTCCGGAGCACGTCATTGACCAACGCCTGGAACACCGCAGGCGCGTTGGCTAGACCAAACGGCATGACTTGGTACTCGTAATGCCCACTGGGTGTGTTAAAAGCCGTCTTCCACTCAGCCCCTCCCGATCCTCACCAGGTTGTAGGCATTACGTAAGTCCAGCTTGGTGAAGACCCGGCTCCCTGCAAACCCTTGAATGCCGTCATCATCAGGGGGAGTGGGTAGCGGTTCATAATCGTGATGTCGTTGAGCATCCGGTAATCAATGAACGGCCGCTGCCCACCATCCTTTTTCCCCACGAAGAAGAAGCCCGCACCCGCGGGTGAGGTAGAGGGATGGATGTGACCCTCGACGAGTGCCTTGTTGATGTACTCCCTCATGGCCAGCGTCTCCGGCCGGGACAAAGAAAACAATCACCCTTGTGTGGGCATGGCGCACCGTAGGAGATCGTTTGCACAGTCGTATGGCCTGTGAGGAGGTAGGCCCTTGGCACACCTCTTTCTAAACACCTCCCCCAGATCCCAATACTCCCGGGGAACGCCTGCCAGGTCTGGGCCGGTGACGGAGTCTATAGCCGCCGTCCTCCCGGTGGCAACCGCCACTAGGGCGGTAGGCGGTTCGGAGTGCGGGACCTGGGGAAGGGGTGAGGACTGGTAGGTGGTCTGGGAAGGTGGTTTGGGCTGATGAGTGGTCGGTGGAGACCGGAACAGGATGGGAGCGAAGCCTCCCCCCAGGATGAGCCACCCCGTGGACCAGTCTATCCGGGGTTTGTGGGCGACCAGCCAGGGGTGACCGAGGACGAGGGGACACTCCGGAGATTCCACAATGAAAAACTGGTATCCTCCCATACCCCCCCGCCACCCGGACACACACGGGCACAGTGTGCTGGGTGATGAAGCCCTACCCCAACTGCCGTCCAGGCCCATGAACTGAACTGGCTCAGAGAGGGAGAGTAATGGAACGCTCCACCCTTGGGCCTGCCCTGCGTCCATCAGGTTTCCCGCGCAGCGCGGGCCCACAGAAACCTGACGGGGAGAAAAGTCTCGGAGTCTCTGGAGTTTGGGTTTCGGTTCCAGCTCGCTAGCACCCCTCCTGATACTAGCGAGCCCTCCCGCTTCCCGGCTTCTCCGGGCGTGAGTCGCAGTGGTGACCTGCCTGGACGCAGTACAGGCAATGTCCCTGGCGCAGACGCCTCTGCCTCTCCATCCTGGACAAGCGCGCCGCCCCCAGCTGCATAGCCTCCTCCTGAGGCGTCTCCCCCCTGAATCGTCGGAAAGCCATCGGGTTGATAGAGGGACACAGAGGCGCGCCTTGCGTAATCCCTCTCTCATGCGCCCTCTCAAGACGACGATTGTCTAACCGCACCGAGAGTTCGACGAGTCCGTCCTGTCGCTCAGGCAGCTCCCTGAAGGAGAGTTCATCCTTCATCCCCTCCGATAGCCCCTACGCTTAAAGGACGACCAGGGCGGCCTCCTCCCATCCTGCCCCTCGAGCCCAGGTCCAGAACTACATGGAGTAGTCCGCCACCGAACTGTCACCCTGCCGACAGGCCATGAGCCGCCTCCCGGCCTCGTGCCCTGACACATCCCGATAGTTGTCTAACACCTTGCTTAGCACCTGGGTGAATTGGTAGGAGTCGGAGCACGCCAGAGTTTGGCTCTCCCACTCCGCGGTAGCCCAGGAAAGGGCCTGACCCGTCAACAGAGTGATGATGTAGGCCACCCGGCCCTGCTACGTCGGGAAGGAGGAGGGTTGTAGGCTGAATTCCAGGGAACACTGGATGAGGAATTCCCTGCAGCACTCTGGATGTCCGTCATACCTCTCCGGAGGTGGTAGGCAATGTTCCCGCGATGTCGCTTGTGGGACTGGAGAAATTTCCAACAGTCTTGAAGGAGTTCCCACATATGCTGAGCACTTGTTGGATGCTTTTCCTTCAATCTGCGGTCCAACTCATCCCAAACATCTCAATTGGGTTGAGGTTGGGTGATTGTGGATGCCAGATCATCTGATGCAGCACTCCATCACTCTCCTTGGTCAAATAGCCCTTACACAGCCTGGAGGTGTGTTTTGGGTCATTGTCCTGTTGGGGAAAAAATGATAGTCCCACTAAGCTCAAACCAGATGGGATGGCATATCGCTGCAGAATGCTGTGGTAACCATGCTGGTTAAGTGTGCCTTGAATTCTAATTAAATCACAGACAGTGTCACCAGCAAAGCACCCCCACACCATCACACCTCCTCCGCCGTGCTTCACGGTGTGAACCACACATGTGGAGATAATCTGTTCACCTACTCTGCGTCTCACAAAGACATGGCGGTTGGAACCAGAAATCTTTCATTTGGACTCATCAGACCAAATGACAGATGTCCACCGTTCTAATATCCATTGCTCGTGTTTCTTGGCCCAAGCAAGTCTCTTCCTCTTATTGGTGTCCTTTAGTAGTGGTTTCTTTGCAGCAAGTCGACCATGAAGGCCTGATTCACACAGTCTCCTCTGAACAGTTGATGTTGAGATGTGTCTGTTACTTGAACTCTGTGAAGCATTTATTTGGGCTGCAATTTCTGAGGCTGGTAACTCTAATGAACTTATCCTCTGCAGCAGAGGTAACTCTGGGTCTTCCTTTCCTGTGGCGATCCTCATGAGAGCCAGTTTCATCATAGCGCTTGATGGTTTTAACAACTGCACTAGAAGAAACTTTAAAAGTTCTTGAAATTTTCCGGATTGACTGACCTTCATGTCATAAAGTAATGATGGACTGACATTTCTCTTTGCTTATTTGAGCTGTTCTTGCCATAATATGGATAACTTGGTCTTTAACAAATAGGGGTATCTTCTCTATACCACCCCTACCTTGTCACAACACAAATGATTGGCTCAAACGCATTAAGAAGGAAAGAAATTCCACAAATTAACTTTTAACAAGGCACACCTGTTAATTGAAATGCATTCCAGGGGGAACAATGCAAATAGACTGGGTAGCCATTTGATTAGCTGTTCAGGAGTCTTATGGCTTCAGGGTAGAAGCTGTTCAGAAGCCTTTTGGACCTAGACTTGGCGCTCCGGTACCGCTTGCCGTGCGGTAGCAGAGAGAACAGTCTATCACAAGGGAGGCTGGAGTATTTGACAATTTTTAGGGCCTTCCTCTGACACCGCCTGGTATAGAGCTCCTGGATCGCAGGAAGCTTGGCCCCAGTGATGTACTGGGCCGTACGCACTACCCTGTGTAGTGTCTTGTGGTCGGAGGCCGAGCATTTTCCATACCAGGCTGTGATGCAACCAGTCAGGATGCTCTCGATGGTGCAGCTGTATAACTTTTTGAGGATCTGAGGACCCATGCCAAATCTTTCAGTCTCCTGAGGGGGAATAGGCTTTGTCGTGCCATCTTCACGACTGTCTTGGTGTGTTTGGAACATGATAGTTTGTTGGTGATGTGGACACCAAGGAACTTGAAGCACTCAACCTGCTCCACTACAGTCCCGTCGATGAGAATGGGGGCGTGCTCTGTCCTTTTTCCTGTAGTCCACAATCATCTCCTTTGTCTTGATCACATTGAGGGAGAGGTTGTTATCCTGGCTCCACACGGCCAGGTCTCTGACCTCCTCCCTGTAGGTTGTCTCATAGTTGTCGGTGATCAGGCCTACCACTGTTGTGTCGTCGTCAAACTTAATGCGGCAGTAAAGGAGTGGACTGAGCATGCACCCCTGAGGGGCCCCCGTGTTGAGGAGCCCAGTGCTACCAGTGGTTAGGGTGTGATTTTACTACGTCTATTTAGATAAATGCATTTGCTAAATAGCTACATAGTAAATAAAATGTAGGGTGTCAAATACTTTGAACCTTTGCTAAATGATTCATGGTGGTTGATTTATCAAGGCGTTTAATGTATAACAGCCATCAACTACAGGAATAAAGGCAAGAACCCCACACCCCTCCCCTGCTATCCATGAGCCTGTGTTTATGACTGCAATAGCTGCCACAGTCAACAAACCATGAAACCAGGGAAAATTCAAATGATATCCAAATGTTGCTTAGATTCATAATAATAATAATAATAATAATAATAATAATAATAATAATAATAATAATAATAATAATAATAATAACATGGTTCCCGTTCTTCGCAAACTCCTTTCTGATCTATGAGATATGATCAAACCAGATAAAGCCAGCAGCCCTCCTATTTTAATCAAACATACGAGTTTATAAATATGATCAATAGGAATATAAAATGGAGATCTTATGAAAAGTGAGAAATGATTGAGCATGACCTTGATTTCTGATGTGGGAGATGTAGGATTACTGTACCTGCTCCAACATATGTTCCTTTACCACTGGGTCATTGAGGTCAGCTCCTGAGTTAGATTTCAGAGACATCCTGACAATGGTCTGCTTGAATCTATTTTCTAGAGGGACATATGAATGGTAGCACCCACTCAAATGAAATTCAGCTTATTTAAACTTTTCTTTCACTTCCATTTAAAGGCTATAAATTACTTTGGATGTGTGTAGTAGCTAGCCTCTGTGTTCTATATTCAACATTATGGAAATATTATCTGATATTAGAAACCACATGAGCACATATATTTGACAGTGGTGTAGACAACATGAAGCATTTCTGTGTCCGACATCTGACACTGCTTGTTAAAGTGGGACCCTATTGGGGCTAAAATGCTACCCCTTGCACCTGTCTTACAGATATAAACCCCAATAACGCCAATAAGATGATAGTCTTGTGGCCTGGCTGGTCTAGCGGTAATGCCACAGCCTCTGGAACACATTTCTATGGTGTCAGCGTAGGTTTGAATCTGGCCTAATGCCCTTTGATGAAACCTCTGTGTATCTTTTCCTACTGTCATCCTCTCTTTCTATCTGTTTATTAAAAATATATACGTGAAATAAAAAAAGATGATAGTCTTACTTCCAGTGCAAAGGAACGATCTCTTCAGAGAGCAGTCTCTATTGTCCAGAGAGGCGTGTTCAGTCTGTCAATGGCCCTTAAGGGTCAGAGAGCAACAGTTACTACCACCCAGTTGAGGCTGATTGTGTGTGCTCAATATTACAATATTAGATTGATTTACACTAAAGCATTAAGGATATAATATATAACAGTGGGCTCCTCAGAGGAGGAAGGGGGGGACCATCCTCCTCAGTGAATTTCATATATTTTTTTAAATGGTAAAACATTGAAAAAGTTTTCCCTTTTAGATAAAACTATACTAAATATATTCACGTCACCAAATAATTAATTAAAACACTGTTTTGCAATGAAGATCTACAGTAGCCTCAACAGCACTCTGTAGGGTAGCACAATGGTGTAGCCGGAGGACAGCTAGCTTCTGTCCTCCTCTTGGTACATTGACTTCAATACAAAACCTAGGAGGCTGTTGGTTCTCACCCCCTTCCATAGACTCACACAATAATTATGACAACTTCCGGAGGACGTCCTCCAACCTAGCGGAGCTCTTGCAGTATGAGCTGACATGTTGTCCACAAAATCAAAGTATCAGAGAATGAATCTAGTACTGAAAGCATAAGCTACAGCTAGCTAGCACTGCAGTGCATAAAATGTGGTGAGTAGTTCACTCAAAGAGAGAGATAGACAATAGTTTAACAGTCTTCAACAAATACATTTCTTCAAAAATGAAGGAGAAGCAAGAGCGAGAGAGAGAGAGATTTCGTCTTTTTTTGTGTCACTTTCAGTTTCACTTACTTAGCTAACAAATGCAGCTGGCTAGTTTAATTACTCAAACACCATGCTCAAACAGAGGGATGCTATGTTAGCTAGCTGGCTATGACTATCCAACACAACACTGGAACTCTTCCAAGTTTTTGGTTTTATTAATTTATTGCCACTGGGCCCACATGCTTTGGGGGTGTTTTTCTGTAAGGGGACAGGACAACTTCACTCCATCAAAGGGAGATGGACGGGGCCATGTACTGTCAAATCTTGGGTTAGAACCTCCTTCCCTCAGGCCAGGGCATTGAAAAATGGTCATGGATGGATATTCCCAGCATGACAATGACCAAAACACACGGCCAAGGCAACAAAGGAGTGGCTCAAGAAGAAGCACATTAAGGTCCTGGAGTGGCTAGCCAGTCTCCAGACCTTAATCCCATAGAAAATATGTGGAGGGAGCTGAGGTTCGAGTTGCCAAACGTCAGGCTCGAACATTAATGACTTGGGAAGATCTGCAAAGAGGAGTGGGGACAAAATCCCTCCTGAGATGTGTGCAAACCTTTCAAAAAAAGTCGCCTTTAGAACCTTTTGACCATTTTAAATAAAATTTGTTAGATAATAAATTTTTTTTGCTTTTATCATTTTTAATGCTTTCTATGGGGTTTTATTCCCACTGTTCAAAAAACCCTCCAATTTGGGGTGTTTTTCAGGGAAACCCAAAAAAATGGGGGGATTATTTTTACCAAAAACATAAAATTTTACATTTACTGGGGGTTTAAAGGCACCAAGGAGTTAAAAAACATTTTCATAAAAAATTTTATTTATTTTAAAATTTTTAAATAACCCCGTAATTGGTAAATTTAAGTTCAAAAAACCCCCCCCCTTAAATTAATGCGTATTGGAAAAAGTATTTTTAGCCAGTTCATGTCGCCTTTAGAGGAGTAAAAATTTTCATAAAGGTTTAATGACATACTTAATATAAAAAATTAGGTTGAAAGAAATTTTAATGTTTTGATTTCCCAAAAGCCCATGAAAAAAAAATTCCCCGTCAAAAAAAGGGTTTTTTTCGCAAAATTTAAAAAAACAAAAACTTTCCTAAATCTTTTAAAATAAAATTTAAAAAGGGATAAAAACACTTTTGAATAATTTATTTACCTTTTTTTATTATTTTTTTTAATTAAAAACAAAAATTAAGGGTAAAAATGAAATCCTTTTTAGGTAAAGGGGGAAGGATAAAAAAGGTAAAGAGATGAATATTTAAAGAGTAAAATTAATTGGGATTGGGGAATTAATAAATAAAAAAGTATTTTCCAGACCATGATAAGTTCTTGGGAAATAGGGTTGGCCAAAAGGTGGGGAAAGGAAGTTCTTAAATTGTTAAACCTCTTTTCAGGTTTTGGAAACGGATTTTTAATGCCACCCCATTTTTTAAAAACTAATAGTAAGTGGCAGACTTTAAAAAGAGGGATTTTTAAAGGGATAAAGCATCGTTTTACCAACGGGATTTTAATTTGGGGGTTGAATTTTAAAAGGGGAAAAAGGCGCTGTTTACTTGAAAACTGACATTAATAAAAAAAAACTCTTTCCCAGCCGCGTCCATTAAAATTTGACGAAATTTTAAATTTTCCACCCCCCCAAAAAACCTTGGGAGCAAAAAATTTGGGCCCGGACTTCACGTGAAGGTTTTCCTGTGGGAAGTGCCCATTTTTATTACCCCAACCGGAACCATTTTCCAAAGTGGTTTGGATTAAAACATCCCTCTTGACCCCTTAAACATACGGGTCCAAAAACGGGGGGTTCCCCAAAGGGGGACGCCCCAACCAATCAACCCCCCCCAAAAAAATGGCACCCCACGGGGAAAGGGGGTCCTAATCCCCAGGGCCCCGGTTGGAAGAAAAGGGAACCCCAAACATTTCACTTGGACTTTGGGTGGCGGGAATTGGAAAAACAAAAAAATTTGAAAAGAAAACGGCCAAATCCAAAATAACATACACAGGTCACTGAAAAAGCCCCAAAATTGTCATTTTTCCCTTTTGTGCGGGAAGAAGGGCTCCATTTTGTCCGGGGGGTAAAAGCTGGGGGAAGGGGGGTTTGCGGGGAGGTGGGACCTGAGAGGCAGTTGTCCACTGGAAGGGGGGTTTGGGGGTTTGAGGTGGTGGGTCCATAGTAGGGGTAGGGGGGTGAGGTGGTGGACTGCCCTTTAGTAGGGGTAGGTGGTGAAGTGGGGGACGCCCCATTAGTAGGGTAGGGGGTGAGGGGGGGGGTTGGATGTCCATTAGTAGGTGGGGGTGAAGTGGGGGGACTGCCCCCATTGAGTGGGGGTGGTGAAGGGTGGACTGCCCTTTATATGGAGGGGTGAAGTGGGGGATGTATTAGTAGTGGTAGGGGTGAGGGGGGGTGGATGCCCCATTAAAGTGGTAGTGGTGAGGGGGGGGATGCCATTTAGGGGGTAGGTGGTAAAGTGGTTTTTTATGCCCATTTGGGGTCGGTGGTGAAGTGGGGACGCCATTTATTTGGGGTAGGTGGGAGGTGGGGGGCGTCCAAATTGTAGTGGTAGGGGGTGAGGGTGGTGAACTGTCCAATTAGGTAGTGGTAGGTGGGTGAGGTGGTGAACTGTACATTAGTAGTGGTTACGGTGGTGAGGTGATGGGTGGTGAACTGTCCATAGGTAGGTGGTTAGGTGATGACGTGGTGGACTGTCCAATTGTGAGTGGTAGGTGGTGATGAGGTGGGTGGGACTGTCCATTAGTATGTGGTAGGTGGTTGAGGTGGTGGCCTGTCCATTAGTAATGGGTAGGTGGTGAGGTGGTGGACTGTCCAGTTAGTAATGGGTCGGTGGTGATCGCGCGTGTGGTGGACTGTCAATTAGTAGTGGTAGTAGGTGGTTGGTTTGATTGTGGTGGTGGACTGTCCATAAGTAGTCGGTAGGTGGTGTGGTGGTGGGCCCTTCATTAGTAGTGGTAGCGTGGCTGTTGGTGGTGGAGCTGTCGTGATTAGTAGTGGTAGGTCCATGTGGTGGACTTCTTGCTAGAGGGAGGTCCAGTTGAAGCAGGGGTTTGGTTTTCATGGGTGGTAGCAGGAGTGGACCAAATCCCCCAGTGGTGTTAAAGAGGACGTTCATGCTGGGTCAGAATGAAGTAGAATACACATATATAAGTGCCTGTTTCCCTATCATGTTGATCAATGAAACAAAAACAAAGTACTTATATAAAAGATTTCCTCATTTTAAAACTTGGAGTTTCTTTGTGTAGATTCAACACAACGTTGTCATAGATGATGACTGACTGTCAACACTAGTTTGATAACATTCTCACAGGGTTCAACTTACCCCCATAGCACAGGAAAGCTTTTTGAGTAGAACAATTTTCTCGTTGCCATTTTCTGTCATTTTCTGAGTTCAGCTTTACACAGTTTCCACCTCCCATGGAATTGTCCCATTCCTGAAATGGTTCACCACTGGACCAATTCCATGTGTTGTTCTCATTCTTTAGTCCAATCCAGATTTGTTCCTGCTTAGCCACCTCATCAAAGGCTTCCTGTTCTTTCTGGTTACAGATACTCGCCAGTTCTCTGCCTTGTATTGTCCTGCAGTCTGTCACAGCATCCTTCTGGTCCTTTGGCCCAGTCATCAGCTCATAGACCTTCTCTGTTGTTCCATTACCATGATGAACTTATAGGAGGGAAGATGAAAACTGACACATCAGATTTCATGAGACAGTTAATGACTTCGCACAATAAGAAATAAACTTGGAAGTTACAGGTGATAACCTAAATTATAAAGTGCTTTGAGATCTGATTAGATGAAGAATACAGTATTACAGTTGGATTTTCCATTGATGAAAGAAAGTGAGTGAGTGAGTCCTTACCTCGTTGACACATATACTGTCTTGGAGATTCACACGGCACTGGTTCCCAGTGAGATGAAATAGACAAGACACAGTCATGACCCTTGGTGTGGTCACCAAAGCCAATTCTCCAGTTGAAGAACATGAAGTCCTCTCCGTCAGACCACTTCCACTTTTCATTTGGATCAGGCTTCTCTCTATGGAGCCCAATCCACACATCACCATTGAAATTACCCAAAGTGGATTTAATTGCCCTCCAATCCTCTTCTGTTTGTATGATGGACAGGTTTGTAAAGCGCTGTCTGCAGTACTCTTGTGCTTCGGTCCAGTTTTTCATCTCAGGGACAAGGCTGTACTTTTGGGCTGAGTAGGTGACTGTTTGAAATACAGAGGAAAATGCTTATCAGACTGCTTGTTGTGTTGAGTGGCGAACATGACCATCTTTAGCTTCCACTATCTATTCTAAAATATAGGCAACACATTCTGTTTGACAGCAGAGTAATATAGAGCATGTGACAGTGGCAAATTGATACATTCGCAAACTTGTTCCAACCTCCAACCAATTTGTTTGATGAATATGGACGTGTCCTGTGCATCAATGACTAAAAGTGAATACATAGTAGTGATAGTACTGTATAGTATTCTATAGACTACAGAATATGAACTTCACACATCATTGGTCTGTAAAGGCTCTGTTTAAAGAGCTCTGATGCTTGATGATATTCGATAACTTACACCTTCAACAGAGATAATGGAATAAACAGACACACAACATGACAGTTTGATATCCATGTCTATGCTATCCTGTTTAATAGGGCCTATTAATAAAGTCTACCTCTCTGATCATTAGATATTGACTAGATATTCAATGGCCAAAATAAATGATGACTCACATATACATTAACTGTATGTACTCACCTTTACCACTGCAGTTTCTCAGAGAGTAGCCTGAGGTTGCATGTTGGAGGTATTGTATTGTAATTTTGGGTGTATCACCAGTTGAGGCCTTCAGGAAACAGTTGTTGCTGTGGGATAAATATCACAAAGAATGTGGTAGTAGTTATCAGAATGGTGCTGATCTAAAACATCTATTGCTGCCTTTATTTGCACAAGCATATATTTTTTTGCATGTACCTGTGTTCTATTATTTCTGCCTTTTTGCCAACAAATGTGAAGTACTGGCACTTGTCATTGTTGGTGCATTCCTGCCTGCACTGACTTGCATTATTGGTTGTATATTGCTGATTCTCAACATTGTTCCCCAGAAAATCCACTCCATCCAGTAGGTCCCTCTCACAACCTGTAACCAAGACATACTGTATTTCACCATACAGACCATCAGAATGGGGCAGGATAAAGCACATCTAGGCAGCAAGAGGACATTACAAGCAGTACATACTTAGTTAGAGAACACACTGAAACACAATAGTAGTACAGAAATACAACATTCATACATGGAGAAGAAAACTTTGAACCTTCATGTTCCTTCCTACTGTAAGGTGACACCTGCACTGAGCAAAACCCATTGATAACCTGTAGTATGAAGTGAGCAACACTTACCTTTGACTACCCTCAGGCTGTAGATTTGTTTAAGATCATTTAACCAGCAGTAGCTCCCACTGTCTGCAGGCTTTAGGTTTAAAATGGTGAGGTTTACTGTTCCATCTCCAGCATTAACTTTATATTTGGATTGCTCTTCCTTTATGGGATCAGTACACTGAAAGGTTCCACTTGCTCTGCTCCAGCATGTGTCAAGCTTTTTAGCCCCAAGGTATCTACAGACAAGGGTCACAGAGGTTCCCTCCAGTACTGATATCTCAGTCCCAAACACTGGTGAGGACATGGCTGCTGTGGGGATAAATGTCACATCAGAAATATGTTATTTTTGGGATGGTCAATCTATTTTTCTGTTCAGATTGTGACACCAACACCAACCTAAGACTTGTATATCAACTTCATAATCACTGTACTAAAATATAACTGTGTCCACTATAGGAGAGATTTCTGTAGATTGTATGTTAAATGTTGGTTAAACTGAGACTCATTGTGTGAAACTGGATGTTTACAGGTTCTGAACCACTACCCAACTACTTTGAATACATGGTCAACTAGATAACAGGCATAGCAGGTTGGTTTATAATACCAAGAGAGGAATATTGATCCCATCTGATCTCTTACCCAATAGCAGGAGTAGAAGTACTGGCTGTATCATGGCCACTGTGAAGAGATTGCATGGTTTAATGCTCCCAAACCTTATATTGTAACTCAAGAGAAGCATTGTTGTTAAAGCAGAATAATTTGCCAATCCTGTCACGTTCGTTCATGAACGGGTCAGACCATTTGAACCGAATACACAACGACAAAACAACAAACGAAACGTGAAGTTCAAGGTACACAAACAACATACCTAACACGGAACAAGATCCCACAACCCACTAGTGCCAATAGGCTGCCTAAGTATGGTCCCCAATCAGAGACAACGAGCGAAAGCTGCCTCTGATTGGGAACCACACCGGCCAACATAGATCTAGACATACTAGAACTACAACATAGAAATACACAACATAGAAACTACACACCCTGACTCAACATATACAATTCCCCTGAGTCAGGGCGTGACAGTACCCCCCCCCCCCCCCCCAAAGGTGCGGACTCCGACCGTGCAACATAAACATAACAGGGTAGGGGCCGGGTGGGCATTCCGCCTCGGAGGCGGATCCGGCTCAGGGTGTGACGACCTCTCACTCTTCGCCTCCCTGTTACGCCCCAGACTGGAGCCGCTGACCGGAGCTGGACTAGGCACCGGTAGAGCGGACTGCTCTGGCTCCGGAGTGGAGCCACTGACCGGATCTGGACTAGACCCCGGTGGAGCGGACTGCTCAGGCTCCGGACTGGAGCCGCTGACCGGAGCTGGACTGGACCCCGGTGAAGCGGATTAATCTGGCTCCAGAGTGGAGCAGCTGACCGGAGCTGAACTGGGCACCGGTGGAGTGGACTGCTCTGGCGCCGGAGTAAAGCAGCTGACCGGTGCCGAACCAGGCACCGGTGGAACAGGCACGGGCCGTGCCGGACTGGACACACGCACCACTGGCTTGGTGCGAGGAGCAGGAACAGGTCGGGCCGGGCTGGCGACGGCACCATGGCTTTTGCGAGGTACAGAACGGCCGGACCGGGCGGGGGCGGCACCCCCTGGCTTGGGGGAGGGGCAGGAACAGGCCGGGGCGGGGTGGCGACGCGCACCCTATGTTGGTGCGGGGGAGGGAAAAGGCCAAACCGGGGGTGGCGACGCGCACCCCTGGTTGGTGCGAGGGACAGGAACGCCGGCGGGCCTGGCGACGCGCCCACTGGTTGGTGGAGGGGGGAGGAAAGGGGGGGCCGGGCTGGGAAGGCACCATGGTTGGTGCGAGGGGCAGGAACGGGGGCCGGGTGGCAAGGCACCACTGGCTTGGGGCGAGGAGCAGGAAAGGGGGCCGGGTGGCACGCGCACCAGGCTTGGTGCGAGGGACAGGAACAGGCCGGGGCCGTACTGGGAACACGCACCAGGCTTTGGCGGGGGAGCAGAACGGGGGGGCCCTTTTTGGGGAAAACGCCCCACGGTAGTGCGGGGAGCAGGAACGGGGGGCCGTACTGGGAACACGCACCGACTGGCTTAGTGCGGGACAGGGGGGCCGGACCGGACGCACCACTTGCTTGGTGCGAGGAGCGGGACTCGGTTCCTTTATTAACCCCCGCTCCTTCTGCTGCCTAACCAGCTCCTCTCGCCGTGCCTCTACACTTTCCTTCTCCCTTCTAGCCTCCTGTGCGCCTCCCTCTGACCGAATAACTCCTGCTCCCTCTGAACCAATAGCCCCCGTAACATGGTGGCCTCCTGCTGCCTCGTCGTCCACACCGTGTGCCCCCCAAAAACATTTTCTTGGGGTTGCCTCTTGGGTCTCCGTCGTCAGCACTCCTCTTCCCGTGAGGACTCCTCCGGGAGCCCCCACGAGTTAGGGAACAGAAACTCGTCGTCGTCGTCATCCTCCGACTCCTCCGTGTAATACTGTTCCCCACTCCTCTTCCCAAGGTCGTAGGGACCCAATCTGAAAACCAACCGGGTGCAGTGGTCGGGGCTCTTCTCTCTCGCTCCCCGACCACCCCTTTAGCCCCCCCAAAAAATGTTATTGGGGCTGTCTCTTGGGCTTCCTCCTCGACCGGCGTCCTCTGTGTTGCCGTTGCTCCTCTCCTGCCTTTGCCCATGGCCCTTTCCCCGCGGAATATCTCTTCCCATGACCACAATTTGCCCACCTGTGACATGGCAATTCGCTCTTCCTGGGCATGCTGCTTGGTCCTCGTTTGGTGGGATCTTCTGTCACGTTCGTTCATGAACGGGTCAGACCAAGGCGCAGCGTGATATGCATACATGTTTATTTGAACCGAATACACAACGACAAAACAACAAACGAAACGTGAAGTCCAAGGTACACAAACAACATACCTAACACGGAACAAGATCCCACAACCCACTAGTGCCAATAGGCTGCCTAAGTATTGTCCCCAATCAGAGACAACGAGCGACAGCTGGCTCTGATTGGGAACCACACCGGCCAACATAGATCTAGACATAGTAGAACTACAACATAGAAATACACAACATAGAAACTACACACCCTGACTCAACATATACGAGTCCCCTGAGTCAGGGCGTGACAAATCCAGACCTGTTTGAAAGATTTCATGTAGAAGAAAATGTCTAAGAAAGAATTGGTTTGTTTTTAAGTCTGAACTAATGTGCACAATTTCCTTCTGAGAGTAAACAAGGCAGTGCAGTACCTTTCCAGTTAAACAAAATGACAAAGTGATGATAAGGTGATTTTACTACCAAAGTAGCATTGCAGTTACTCTATGGAACAGCTACATGGAATAAACTTTGATTAACCAAACATGCACTTTGAAAGAAGTAAAACATATAGAGAGTCTAATTTGAGGTAAAATATGTGATGAGATTTAAAAGCATGTCTCAAGTCTCTCTAAATCTACTGATTCCCACAATGTCTATGATATGCATAAGATATTATTTTTACTCACACTGTTATCTAACTGTAGATTTGACGCCTACACTTAGAAAAAAGGTGCTATCTAGAACCTAAAAAAGTTATTTGGCTGTCCCCATAGGAGAACCATTTGAATAACCCTTTTGGGTTCAATGTAAAACCATTCCACAGAGGAAAATATTATTCTATGAACAAAAACGATTATTCGAAGGGTTCTCCTATGAGGACAGCTGTAGAACCATTTTTTCTAAGAGTGCAGGTGCAGACTAGGACCAGAAATCGTCCGGGGCATTTCTAACACACCGGCCCCTTTCTTTCCATGAGGCCCCCACACTGGCCTGTTTTTTTTTTATCATAAGGGCTCCATTATTAGCCAGATAGGGATAATTTTGCACAAAAAAACTAACAATTTAGATATTTTAGACAAAATGCCAGATGGCCAGTCCGCCCATTTCAGAGTTTAGTCAGTCTCAACTTCATTAAAATACAGAATACTAAGCAACAGGCTCTATTCAAATAATTTCAAACAGTAAGTTACAATAGGTGCATATCTGAATTATTACCTCTTCAAAGAAAAGCACAGTGTTTCAACATATAAGGGAAAAAATGCATAATGCAGCTTGAAATGATTTCACACCTACCCAGTTAGCTGTCCTCTTCCCTACCAATAGTTTGGTTGTGAGATGCATGTGGAGACAGGGGAAAGAGAGATGAGTTTATATTGGTGTCTTTCTCTCCTCCCTCTCTGCTGACCAGGTGAACACACCCAGGAGATGCTGAAACATCAGCTCCAACCCCTCCCTCCACATAAAATAACACTGGCCAATAGACCCAATGTATTTTCTCTGTTATTGCAGTGGACTTTATGCAGTGTTAGAAATACAGTCAATCTACGTTACTTGATCAAATGTACATTTCTGTTAGTGTACTAAGTTCACATTTGTGACAATAATTTGCAGTACATTTCGTCAATACAATCAATTCCTTATTATTGGTACTGGACATGGGCTTCACAAAAAAGCATGATTCCGTACAATATCCACTGACCTCTGATTATTGAGACATGAAGATATGTGTTTAAAGAAATGAAGAAAACCACCAAAGATATAATTGTAACCTGTGTCAGTGAGTTCTCCCAGCGCCATGCAAAGCAGACCGCCTTCCAACAAGTAAATAAAGTCATTTGTTTCTATTTGGTACCTGCAGGGTTATGGTAGCCTAATCCCCAATTATGTTAACAAAGTGCAATGTAATTCTGGATGTACAAGAGCCCATAGTTCCTGGTATGGACACGTTGTAGTCCATACTGATAGCTTATCTATTGGAGTTCAGTGCAACAGTACAAGTAGTTAGGATGTGGTTTTACTTCCTCGTCTCTATGTCGATTTGGATAAAATAATTTGCTAAATAACTAGGCCTACATGATGACTTGGTTTATCAAGTTGATTAATGTATAACAGCCATCAACTACAGGAACACGGGCAAGAACCCCACACCCCTCCCCTGCTATTCATGAGCCTGTGTTTATGACTGTATGTCACGTTCGTTCATAGACGGGTCAGACCAAGGCGCAGCGTGATATGCATACATGTTTATTTAAAACTTAATAAACAACGACAAAACAATAAACCAACGAAACGTGACGTCCAATGGTAACACACAACAAACCTCACACGGAACAAGATCCCACAACTTAACGAGTGCCAATAGGCTGCCTAAGTATGATCCCCAATCAGAGACAACGAGTGACAGCTGCCTCTGATTGGGAACCACACCGGCCAACATAGAACTACACATACTAGAACATAAACATAGATATACACCACATAGAAAATCACACCCTGACTCAACAAATAAGAGTCCCCTGAGTCAGGGCGTGACAGTACCCCCCCCCCCCCCCAAAGGTGCGGAATCCGACCGCACAACCTTTACTTAACAGGGTAGGGGCCGGGTGGGCACTTTGCCTCGGACGTGGATCCGGCTCCGGGCGTGACAACCACCTATTCTCCGCCTCCCTGTTGCGCCCCTGGTCTGGTCTGGACCTCGGCGCGCTGCTTCCCCTCTCCTTCCTCCCACTATACTCCAAGCCCTGTCTGGACCCTGGTGTGGGAGACCCCGAACCTGGAGAGGGGCTGACGTCTGGGTCTGGACTGGAGCCGCTGACCGGAGCTGCACCGGGCACCGGTGGAGCGGACTACTCAGGCTCCGGACTGGAGCTGCTGACTGGTGCCGGACCAGGCACCGGTGGAACGGGCACGGGCCGTGCCGGACTGGACACACGCACCACTGGTCTGGTGCGAGGAGCAGGCACGGGCCGAACCGGACTAGGAACATGCACCACTGGCTTGGTGCGAGGAGCAGGAACGGGCCGGGCCGGGCCGGACTGGCGACACGCACCACTGGCTTGGTGCGAGGAGCAGGAACAGGCCGGGCCGGACTGGCGACGCGCACCACTAGGTTGATGCGAGGAACAGAAACAGGCCGGGCCGGACTGGCGACGCGCACCACTAGGTTGATGCGAGGAGCAGAAACAGGCCGGGCCGGACTGGCGACGCGCACCACTAGGTTGATGCGAGGAGCAGGAACAGGCCAGGCCGGACTGGCGACGCGCACCACTGGCTTGGTGCGAGGAGCAGGAACAGGCTGGGCCGGGCTGGCGACGCGCACCACTGGCTTGGTGCGAGGAGCAGGAACAGGCCGGGCCGGGCTGGGAACACGCACCACTGGTTTGGTGCAAGGAGCAGGAACAGGCCGGGCCGGGCTGGCGACACGCACCACTGGTTTGGTGCGAGGAGTAGGAACGAACCGTACCGGGCTGGGAACACGCACCACTGGTTTGGTGCGAGGAGCAGGAACGGGCCGTACCGGACTGTGGAGGCGGACTGGAGGTCTGAAGCGGAGAACTGGCACAACCCGTCCTGGCTGGATGCCTACTTCCGCACAGTATGTGTGAGGTATTAGCACAGGACGCACAGGGCTGTGCACGCGCACTGGCGATACAGTACGTAGAACCGGCGCAGGATATGCGGGACCGAGGAGGCGTACTGGAGACCAGGAGCGTTGAGCCGGCTCACCCCGTCCTGGCTGGATGCCCATCTTCGCACGGCACGTGCGTGGTGCTAGCACAGGACGTACACTGGCGACACAGTACGTAGCTCCGCATAACATGGAGCCTTCCCAGTCACACGCCTCCTCGCGTGAGTACGAGGATTTGGCTCTGCTCTAACATTAGGCTCCGCCAACCACCCTTTTAGCCCCCCAAATTTTTTTTCTTGGGGCTGTCTCTCGGGCTTCTTCCTCGACCGGCATCCTCTGTGTTGCCATTGCTCCTCTCCTGCCTGGGCATCTACCTTCGCCCATGGCCCTTTCCCCGCAAATATCTCCTCCCATGACATTTACATTTACATTTACACTTGAGTCATTTAGCAGACGCTCTTATCCAGAGCGACTTACAGTTAGTGAATAATTTTTTTTTTTTTTTCATACTGGCCCCCCGTGGGATGACCACCAATTGCCCACCTGTGACATGGCTACTCTCTCCGCCTGGGCACGCTGCTTGGTCCTCGTTTGGTGGGATCTTCTGTCACGTTCGTTCATAGACGGGTCAGACCAAGGCGCAGCGTGATATGCATACATGTTTATTTTAACTTAATAAACACACGACAAAACAATAAACCAACGAAACGTGACGTCCAAAGGTAACACACAACAAACCTCACACGGAACAAGATCCCACAACTTAACAAGTGCCAATAGGCTGCCTAAGTATGATCCCCAATCAGAGACAACGAGTGACAGCTGCCTCTGATTGGGAACCTACCGGCCAACATAGAAATACACATACTAGAACATAAACATAGATATACACCACATAGAAAATCACACCCTGACTCAACAAATAAGAGTCCCCTGAGTCAGGGCGTGACACTGTAATAGCTGCCACAGTCAACAAACCATGAAACCAGGGAAAATTCTAATGATATCCAAATGTTGCTTAGATCCATAACATGGATACTGTCATTCTGTCACACCCACAACAGTCTGTCTGTCTCCATCTTTACAGTACTCTGAACCATGCCACCTAGAAGTGGGCACATAATTCTACATTGTTGTGATTTGCTCCCCCATCTCACCATTCTTGCTGAAGGTTGAAAATAATGGTAATACTGTTGTCACTGATCAAACATATTTTATTTAAGAATGTCAACAGTAACATTCATAAGTGAGTGTGTCACATATTTATTATGAATAATTTGTTAATGCAAATCCCTGACTGAAATGTCCTTTTGATTCCACTTCTCTTCTCTAATCAAATTGTACAACAGAAATTATTACATTAGATTCATACACCAACAAAACATTTAGATTATAATTGTATGTTACATTAGTAAAATATTGGAACGTTTAAATCTATCCAAATACACATTTACTTCATATTTTTCTTTCATAAGACAAATCAAACTATCATAACATTAACTAAAATAATATTGTATTATGAGGTATATAATCTATAATGTGGTACTAGGGTTACTATTTTAGTTTTCTTGAACCTTCCATCCCTCTCCTGCTGCATCATCATGGCTGGTCCTCTTCATCCAGACCCACACTGACCTTAGAAACCAAACACAACAGTACAAAGACTCTCACTGGAATTAGTTAATGAACACCTTACTTCATTTCCATACTGTCAATGGGATGCAAAACCTAACAACACACTGTACAAGGGACTCTGAACAACAGACTAAACATGAGGAGGGTCATTTACATAACTGTGACACAAAAAAGTGCTTACCTTCTTCAGGGCTTCCAAGTTCAACTGTTTTGCGAAAAACTTTTCCATTCGGCAGTTCTCTCCAGCGTATGCCTAGGATGAAGTTCCCGTTCTTCGCAAACTCCTTTCTGATCTATGAGATATGATCAAACCAGATAAAGCCAGCAGCCCTCCTATTTTAATCGAACATATGAGTTTATTAATATGGTCAATAGGAATATAAACGTGAGATCATATGAGAAGAGTGAAATGATTGAGCATGACCTTGATTTCTGATGTGGGAGATGTAGGACTACTGTACCTGCTCCAACATCTGTTCCTTAACCACTGGATCATTGGGGTCAGCTCCTGAGTTAGATTTCAGAGACATCCTGACAATGGTCTGCTTGAATCTCTTTTCTAGAGGGACATAGGAATGGTAAAATGAGACAGCCACTCAAATGAGATTCAGCTTATTTACAATAAATATAACTTTTCTTCCAATGTCCCTTGAAGACTGTACATTTCTTTGGAACTGTGTAGTAGCAAGCCTCTGTGTTCTATATTTACCAGTATGGAATTTTTATCTCACAATAGAAACCACATGAGCACACATTTGCAAAAATCATGATTTTCTAATTAAAACATTTGCCAAATCAAACAAATTATATTTCAAATATTCATGTTTTAGATTTTTCAATATTCATAAATGTATGTAATAAATGTGGTATTGAAATCAAAATACTACTCATATTACAGTGAATGCGGTAAAGCTTCATATGACACCAACTTTTACTTTGTGGCACCTACAGATGAAACATTATGGAGTCTTAAAGGGGGCATGGGTAAGGCAAAAATTTCACAAATATTCCAATTATTTCTCAATTATGCTTTAAGGCACAAATGTCTAACGTATGTCAACAATCCATCCTCCAAAGGACCCTTCTATGGATTACATTGTTACTTCCTGGTCTTCTTTCTTCTCGTTTCACAGACGGACAGCATTGGTTCATATAAAACTACAATGGATGTACTGTATGTAGGAACTGAAGTTTTGTACGTCAATAAACCTCCTTTCATACTAATGTTGTTGTGCTAGATCACTCAGTCATCTCAATTGAGAGCTTATTTGCAACTCCCTGACACTGTGAATGCTGAAAACATGTTTATTAACAGTTGTAAATACTATTCGTACAGTAGGTTAGATTGGTCCATACCTTCACTGCAGCCCTTCCTAGTGTAACCAGATATGATGCCTGGATAGTTCCTCATAGTTGGTTGACCATTTGTATACTTTTGATAGCAGCGGAATCTGTTTTGAAAGTAAAAGACAATACTGATGCACTTCTGTAAGGTCTCTGTTTTACTGTAATTTTTTGTAAACAATATAATTGTAAACAAATACTGTTTATCATTTTGATCTCATGGATAGTCAGTGCTTGAATCCATAGCTCTGCATTTAAGAGTGGTGATATTTCTCTAGCCCCATCCTTCAACTACAGTGGGGAAAAAAAGTATTTAGTCAGCCACCAATTGTGCAAGTTCTCCCACTTAAAAAGATGAGCGAGGCCTGTAATTTTCAGCATAGGTACACGTCAACTATGACAGACAAATTGAGAAGAAAAAAATCCAGAAAAACACATTGTAGGATTTTTTATGAATTTATTTGCAAATTATGGTGGAAAATAAGTATTTGGTCACCTACAAACAAGCAAGATTTCTGGCTCTCACAGACCTGTAACTTCAGCTTTAAGAGGCTCCTCTGTCCTCCACTCGTTACCTGTATTAATGGCACCTGTTTGAACTTGTTATCAGTATAAAAGACACCTGTCCACAACCTCAAACAGTCACACTCCAAACTCCACTATGGCCAAGACCAAAGAGCTGTCAAAGGACATCAGAAACAAAATTGTAGACCTGCACCAGGCTGGGAAGACTGAATCTGCAATAGGTAAGCAGCTTGTTTTGAAGAAATCAACTGTGGGAGCAATTATTAGGAAATGGAAGACATACAAGACCACTGATAATCTCGCTCGATCTGGGGCTCCACGCAAGATCTCACCCCGTGGGGTCAAAATGATCACAAGAACGGTGAGCAAAAATCCCAGAACCACACGGGGGGACCTAGTGAATGACCTGCAGAGAGCTGGGACCAAAGTAACAAAGCCTACCATCAGTAACACACTACGCCGCCAGGGACTCAAATCCTGCAGTGCCAGACGTGTCCCCCTGCTTAAGCCAGTACATGTCCAGGCCCGTCTGAAGTTTGCTAGAGTGCATTTGGATGATCCAGAAGAGGATTGGGAGAATGTCATATGGTCAGATAAAACCAAAATAGAACTTTTTGGTAAAAACTCAACTCGTCGTGTTTGGAGGACAAAGAATGCTGAGTTGCATCCAAAGAACACCATACCTACTGTGAAGCATGGGGGTGGAAACATCATGCTTTGGGGTTGTTTTTCTGCAAAGGGACCAGGATGACTGATCCGTGTAAAGGAAAGAATGAATGGGGCCATGTATCGTGAGATTTTGAGTGAAAACCTCCTTCCATCAGCAAGGGCATTGAAGATGAAACGTGGCTGGGTCTTTCAGCATGACAATGATCCCAAACACACCGCCCGGGCAACGAAGGAGTGGCTTCGTAAGAAGCATTTCAAGGTCCTGGAGTGGCTTAGCCAGTCTCCAGATCTCAACCCCATAGAAAATCTTTGGAGGGAGTTGAAAGTCCGTGTTGCCCAGCGACAGCCCCAAAACATCACTGCTCTAGAGGAGATCTGCATGGAGGAATGGGCCAAAATACCAGCAACAGTGTGTGAAAACCTTGTGAAGACTTACAGAAAACGTTTGACCTGTGTCATTGCCAACAAAGGGTATATAACAAAGTATTGAGAAACTTTTGTTATTGACCAAATACTTATTTTCCACCATAATTTGCAAATAAATTCATTAAAAATCCTACAATGTGATTTCCTGGATTTTCTTTCTCATTTTGTCTGTCATAGTTGACGTGTACCTATGATGAAAATTACAGGCCTCTCTCATCTTTTTAAGTGGGAGAACTTGCACAATTGGTGGCTGACTAAATACTTTTTTCCCCCACTGTATTTACCAAAACAAGTGGTATGACCACCACCCAAACAGGCAACCCAAATACTCAAATAGATTATACTCTTTAACCAGGTAGCTGAAGTAGGAACACCCAGGGTTCTGAGTGCAGGCAAGCTGGCAATGATGGACGTCCTGTACATACACCATCAAAATGTCGTTCCCGGGAGAGTTTTTGTCAACCATGTATCCCTGTGAGCAGTGAGCTGTTGAATGGGGACAAATGTGGTTTTCATTTAGATTGCAAATAAATATTAAAAAGATAAACTACCACAAAAGTAACAGAATAAGCCTTGTCCATGCTCAATATTACAATATTAGATTGATTTAAACTAAACCATGAAGGATAAGTCTTATATAGCATATAAGCACATACACTCACATGGTTCACCTGCTCGGGTTTCACTGAAGGACTGCTGGCTGAAGAAGAGGTCAGGGGCTGCACCTGAGAAAAGAAAACATTCTATACATTCCCATACTGTACATTTAACAAGAAAGACCACAAAAAGTAATGTGTATGTTGTATCTGTTACACATGTATAATTTGTAAATAGATAATGAGATCTAAAAACATGGATATGTGTCACAGTAGAGCAAATAAGGTAACTATATTAGCATACGATGGTCAGTGCATTAGGAAAGTATTCAGACCGCTTCCATTTTTCCACATTTTGTTATTTTATAGCCTTATTCTAAAATGGATTAAATACATTTTCTTTCCTCATAAATCTACACACAATGCCCCATAATGACAAAGCGAAAACAGGTTTTTAGAAATGTATTAAAAATGTACATAAGTATTCAGACCCTTTGGTATGAGACTCAAAATAAAGCTCAGGTGCATCCTGTTTCCATTGATCATCCTTGAGATGTTTCTACAACTTGATTGGAGTCCACCTGTGGTAAATTCAATTGATTGGACATCATTTGGAAAAGCACACACCTGTCTATATAAGGTCCCACAGTTGACAGTGCATGTCAGAGCGAAAACCAAGCCATGAGGTCGAAGGAATTGTCCGTAGAGCTCCGAGACAGGATTGTGTCGAGGCACAGATCTGGGGAAGGGTACCAAAACATTTATGCAGCAATTGAAGGTCCCCAAGAACACAGTGGCCTCCATCAGTCTTAAATGGAAGAAGATTGGAACCACCAAGACTCTTCCTAGAGCTGGACGCCCGGCCAAACTGAGCAATCGGGGTGAAGGGCCTTGGTCAGGGAGGTGACCAAGAACCTGATGGTCACTCTGACAGAGCTCCAGAGTTCCACTGTGGAGATGGAAGAACCTTCCAGAAGGACAACCATCTCTACAGTACTCCACCAATCAGGCCTTTATGGTAGAGTGGCCAGACGGAAGCCACTCCTTAGTAAAAGGCACATGACAGCCCGCTTGGAGTTAGCCAAAAGAGAAGAATGGTAGAAACTCCCTAAATACAGGTGTGCCAAGCTTGTAGTGTCATACCCAAGAAGACTCGAGGTTGTAATCGCTGCCAAAGGTTATTCAACCAAGTACTGAGTAAAGGGTCTGAATACTTATGTAAATGAACATTTACTAAAATGTCCAAAAACCTGTTTTCACTTTGTCATTATGGGGTATGTGTGTAGATTGGTAAGGGGAAAAAAATAAAATAATGTAATCCATTTTTGAGTAAGGCTGTAACATAACAAAATGTGGGAAAAAGTTGAGGGGTCTGAATACTTTCCGAATGCACTGCACATGGTCTAAAGACTTTGGGGAAAAGGGAATCAAATTCTTACCCAGAAACAGTGCCAACACTGTTGGGAGCCACATAGCCACTGAAAATATGTAAAAGTGTAAAGAAAGTGTTTGTCCATTTTAGAAAAACTTTTATGAAGATGTGCATGAAACAAGATAATATTAGGATGTTGTGATAGGAAAAATATATATTTAATGTAAACTGTTATGGAAAAGAAGTATCTCGTGACAGCCTTAACATCGAGTAGCTGATTTGGTTCTAAGTGCCAAGATTAATGTAAAAGCTATTTAAAATAGCCATTGGATTTAACTAGGCAAATAGAGTATGATACTCTGGCTAATTTGACAGGAAAAGAGTGACTGAAGTGACTGGATTCAACCTTTCTCCTCCCCCTTCTGTCCTCCAAAAAATGTGAAATGTTTGTTGTGTTGTGATGCTTTTAAATATTCATATTATTACATAGAATATATTGTTTTGGATGCTTTTTAGTGATTTCAGGACTAACTTGACATTTGCCTGTCACCGTTAAGAGGAAAACTAGTTTTTTGCTCAAATTCTTCCTCTGAATCCTCAGGAACAAATATTCTGTAATTACATTTCAGTCATTTAGCAGACGCTCTTATCCAGAGCGACTTACAGTTAGTGAGTGCATACATTTTCATACTGGCTCCCCGTGGGAAACAAACCCACAACCCTGGCATTGCAAGGGCCATGCTCTACCAACTGAGCTACAGGGGACTTTAACTCACAATGAGGCATCAATCTATTAATGCCAATATTTGACAAAGTGATACATAATCTGGTGTGTTATTGTAGTGGGTTTAGATGCAGACCGTGTGAACCAAAAGTTATTTAGGATGAAGGGCTGATCCCTGTTTATGAGTTCAATTCCACCCAATCTGGCTAGGGATCATAAATTAATGTTCTGTTGAATATTTAAGTAAAACAATATATTTTGAGGGCAGAATCCTTTTTTTTTTTTTTACCCAAATAGATTAGAAACAGAGTACTGTCACTGATCAAGTGGTTAGCGATATGATCAAATGATTGCTGGTATTCTGTTGCAGTATTATATGTCAATACATAATCACTTTACATACGCAGCAACAAAACACATTTTCGGACTTATTTTGTGCTTGATAAATATCCCATTATGAGAACCACTGTGATCCAAACTAGGCATATTTACTAGATAACAACTTTAAAATAATGCTTTTTGACACCAAAATATCAGTCATGATGTAAGATGTTATACAGTAAGAAAGTGCTTGTAATATCCCATTAGTAAAAGTAAAATGAAACATACCTTTTTGGCTCCTCCTCTCTCTCCAAGGCTTGTTTGGCTTTGATGAGCAGACAGGTGGAGAAGTACTGTAGCTGGAGTGTTTATAAAGAGGATCTGCTCTCCTCCTTCTTTGAAAACACCCTTGTGTCAGTCAACCTCATCAAGCCTCCTCCCTGTTGTCTTGCTGAAAGATCGTTCTAGAAAGAGTGGATACACCAAGAGTGTGTTTATGTCCCTATATGGAGACTCCACTTATGCACATTGAGTAACTGATATTTAGCATAGGTATGTAACAATATTTGAATATATTGTTAGTATCACTTTCAATTATTTGTAAATACTTTACATAAAGATAACAATTTATGGTTGACATCATCAAATTACAACTTGAAATTCTTTAGTTGGCATATGACCAAGACTAGAGTTCAAATCACCATGGTGTACACTAAGTGTATAAAACATTAGGAAACCTGCTCTTTCCATGGCATAGACTGACGGGGTGAAAGCTGTGATCCCTTATTGATGTCTCTTGTTAAACCGACTGTATATAAAGGGGAGGAGACAGGTTAAAATAAAAAAATGTAAGCCTTGAGACAATTGAGACATAGTTGTGTATGTGTGCCATTCAGAGGGTGAATGGGCAAGACAAAATATTTAAATGCCTTTGAACGGGGTATGGTAGTAGGTGCCAGGCACACTGGTTTGAGTGTGTCAAAAACTGCAACTCAATATTAGAAAGGTGTTCCTAATGTTTTGTCCACTCAGTGTAGACAACCTGATATGACCTGGTCCTCATTTGATTGGTCCTCATTTGATTGGCTTTCCACTCAGGCAAATGATGAGTAAATCTCAGTTGACCATTTTCATGTCAGTTCTCCCTCTGTAATGGTATTAACCCTAAATCTGTCTTTCTGGGAGAGGTTACTATTTGTGGGCCCTCTTGGATAGGTTTTCTTTGGTGACTCTGTAGAATAACTCATCAAGCATGTATAGTCATGTGCCTTTTAAGGCCATGGACACACAAATTGAACAACATGATAACCACATATTACATTGTAATCATAGCTCACACCTCAGTGTTCAGAGCAACCAGGTGAGGGGAAGCATGGGGGACCCAGACAGACCAATCAATCAGAATAGGTATTTTCAGTCAGAAAAATATTTACTAGTATTTTGAATATAAACTAGAGGGAGTTCAAGATCAGAGGTCAGTTGATCAAGATGTTTCAAAATTAGAGAGCAGTAGTATCCTGTACATGCTACAATAAGAGCACAGTGCATAGCATTCTGCAGTATAATTACAACTAACCCCCGTATGCCTTTTGGCTAGGAACCTACTGTTTGAATATATGAGTATCATAGACCTTCCAGTGATTGTAAATAAAGTCCTGTTTTCTATGTGGTACCTGCAGGGCTGTGGCAGCCTAATCCCCAATTGTGTTAACAAATTGCAATGTAATTATGGATGTACAAAAGCCCATAGTTCCTGATTTCTTATTTAGTTGGAGTTTAGTGTAGTTAGGATGTAGTTTTACTTCCCTGTCTTTATGTAGATTTGATAAATGCTAAATAACTACATGATAAATAAAATGTAGGGTGTCAATCTTTTGAACCTTCAGTAACTGATCCGTGGTGGTTGGGTTATCAAGTTGATTAATGTATAACAGCCATCAATTAAAGGAATACGGGCAAGAACCCCAAACCCCTCCCCTGCTATCCATGAGCCTGTGTTTATGACTGTAATAGCTGCCACAGTCAACAAACCATGACACCAGGAAAAACTCTAATGATATCCAAATGTTGCTTAGCTTCATAGCATGGATACTGTCATTCTGTCACACCCACAACAGTCTGCCTGTCTCCATCTTTACAGTACTCTGAACTATGCCACCTAGAAGTGGGTACATAATTCTACATTGTTGTGATTTGCTCCCCCATCTCACCATTCTTGTTAGAGGGTGAAAATAATAGTAGTACTGTTGTCGCTAATCAAACTCATTTTAATTAAGAATGTCAACAGTTACATCCATATGTGAGTGTGTAACATCATTTTGAAGAATTTTTAACTGAAAATCTCTCACTGAAACTTGTCACCATACATGTTTTAACTACAGACTTGAAAAACCACAAATGTCCTTTTTATTTCTCTTCTCTAACCAATTGTCCCTTATGTACAACAAACATTATTATTACACTACATTCATAC